GAGCAGAGGAGAGAACCAGTGGAACCCTCCCTAGCAACCACAATGAAGAAGCCCCTCGGGCCAGCATTGACAAGCCCACAGGCTCCGCCGGCACCCACTATGCTGGAGCAGATCCGGCCATGGACACAGAGACCCGAGGCCCAAGGATGCACCACCCCCCAGCCAAGGCCCGACAGGGCCAGAGAACACAAGCCCCACCAGGCAGTCACCAGACTGAGCCAGCACACACCTGAGCACCGAGCCCCAGACACCAAGAGCCACCAGTGCACCGGCGGGCAGAGACACCACCCACCAAAGAAGAGTGTGACAAGGGACTGAGGCACTACCACCAGCAGGGGGGCTTAAGATGATCCAGAAGAGGGGGCAGCCCAAGACCCAGCTGACAGATATCCAGGCACACACAGACACAACCACACATTCCCACCCTCACACTCACACCCACTCATACTGGTGCCCACATCCAGCAGACACTGTGTGAGGGGCGGGGTACACCCTGGACAGGTCCAAGTCCATCACAGGACCATAAAGAGACAAATGATCACTCACACCTTTAATTTAGAGTTACCATTTAAACTAACAGTCATGTTTTTTGTCAGTGGGAGGAAATTGGAGTACCCAGAGAAAACCCATGCATGCACAGAGAGAACATGAAAGGTCCTGGGCCAGGATTCAATCTGGTGACCTTCTTTCTGAGAGGCAACAGCTCTACCAACTGAGCCACCATGCTGCCCGGCATTCTGAAATGATCAATAAAATATTAAATGACTACTTTTGAAATAAACAGAATGACTTTATTATTTATGTAGACCTCCAGTAATATGTATTTCCCCAGTGTCTGGGCTTACAGGTGTGCAGAACATCTTACATGGATGAAATCTGAAAAACAGACCAATGTCTGATTTGCAGTTTCCATACATTTAGATAATGTCTGAGGTACATTTACTGACTGAACAAGCAGATACATTTCTAATAGTTAAATATTACAGATAATAAAGTGAAATAATACAATAATTTTAGGAGGAAAACAAGTAAGAAAAAAAGTTTTTCAAGTGGAATTAGTTTTGTGAAAATTTCGTTTTTAGCTCTGTCCACCTCAGTGTGTCTGCAGAACCTCCTGTAAAAGGTTCTCCAAGCTCTGCTCCTAGTTCCAGCAGAAGAGCGGGGCCTGACTCCGAGCTGGTGTCTGGCTCTCCCAGAGTCCTCCACCAGGGCAGCCGGCTTGCTTGTAGAACAGCGTTGTGGGCATTTCGCGCTCGAGCGGCAATGGAAGCTGACGGACTCAGGAAGGACTCAGCCTGCATTACTGTGACAACCGACAGGGCCGGGGCATCTGTGTGGACCATACAGTCATTACTCATGTGACTGAGCTTTGCATGTCACAAATACAATTTTGTTCCCTTTTTTTTTTTTGTTCTTTTAGCAATTAAAGTCAAAGAAAATAAAAAAAAACTATAAAAGACCTTTACAAAGTCTGCAAAAATTATGATGAAATGACTTTAAAACTGACTAGAAGATAACTAGTATGGGATTATGGGGTCTGTAGCATCACATTATGTAATAACATTATTATATTTTGAGGTGATTGTTACATAATGCGGTGGTTGCTCTTTTAAGAAATCATAATGTAATAAACAGTCACAAACCAGTGTTTTTGTTCATCCTAATCAATGCAGTTTCACACACACACACACACACACACACACACAC